GACGTGTTCGATGGCGCTTGTACAAGTTCTGCCGAGCCATCGATCGGCGACGAATCAACCCGGAGAACTAATTCGCCCGGTTAAAGGGTCGTGCTCGGTCACCGGGTCGAAGAAACGCGATTCTTTTCACAGCAGCTGTCAGACCGCCCGGAACATGTTCTCGTGATTTAACGTGATCGATTGTCGAGAGCGCCGCGTCTTGTTTTGATACGAAACGTACATCGAATTACAAGTTGAGCAGCCGATATGACAAGATGACGAACGGCATCTTTTTTTCGAATTTTCATTCTCCTGCTAAAATTGAGGAAATTGTTTTTTTATTCGATAGAAAATTCCTTATTGATCAGTATAAAAATATTATTCGCGTTACTGTGTTTTCGAAGTTTACGCAGGATCTCCGGTAAATCGTGACTATGCAATTGATAAATAGATTTCATGCGAATTTTGATCTTCGCACGTCATTTTACAAAAATTGAAATTAGGGGAAAGTATTCTTCATCGACCGAAAGATTACTTGCCGTAGAAAGAAAATAAAAATGCCATCAGACATACGTTTCCTTGCATTTTTAAAATTTGCTCATGCCATAAATGCGCGGAGACCCGCCGTTTACTGATAAGTATTTTTAACCCTCATTCGTTCCTCGTGTCAATTTGACGCAGATTTCGCGAATACTGAAGAAATAATCTGTTCCAGAGATCGTTCTATTAGTTCTGAACAATGCATTTATAACAGAAATTAGTCAATCAAATACTAGAAGCCAGGAAACACATTTAAGGAATTTATTAAAATTCTTAAGAAGAGAAATAAACGTCTGAAAAGTTTCTGTAGCTTGCAATAACTGCAGACGATTTCTATCTTGCACAAAAATCCGCAGTAATATACACGAGTAAACCAATTACAGTAAATTCTCCCTAATTGACCCTCAACTTGTACACAAAAATGCACAATGTGGAAAGAGGAGATACGATCATTCGAGTCTCGCGGCTCATTTTTATAACCGCCGATTGTCAAATAATCGTACCTCTTCCCAAATTGTCCACTTTTAATCCCAAGCCGAGGATCAATTAGGAAGACCGTACTTTGTAATTATTAATTAGAGCCTCGAGGAGTTAAAGTGCTCGGAAACGCGACGTAAGCTTCTCTCTTTCAATTTCAGCAAACAGAATTCGCCGCGACGTGGCAGACTTTTTCGGAATGTTTGTTCGGCGAGCAGCCCGAGTTAATAAACGCGAGGGCATCTCGTTAATTACGAGTCGGAGCACGGCCATTCCCGTTCGTCGCTGCGTCGAACGGGCCTCGACCGTCGCCGACGCTTTCCTCGAAAGTCGCGGCAGCCTCGTCGCGGCGACGATTGCGTTTTTCCTCGTAGATTTTCGCGCAGAGAACCGCGGCGATAAAAGTGCGCGGTGCTGACGCAATGAGTCTAATTATATTCCATTCTCTCATCAGTGGTCGGGTCTCTCTATCGCGGTACACCAGTCGCTCGCTTATTATTAATAGTGCTCTATTTTAATAAACCGTGAAAAAAGCGTCGAGGCCGGGCCGCCAGGACGTCGAGCGGGTACACTGTTCGCCGGCTGCTAATTACGCAACGGGAAGAAGGTTACTTAGACGGATCGCCGATGAGAGAGATCTCGGGACGAGTGCGCCACGGGCGGAAAAGAAGAAAGGCGGCACCGTTGACTCGCCGTCATTGATTAATAACAGCCGCGCGGACGATACCGGGCCACGGATAAATGATTATTTTCCTACGATACGCTCGTGGGAAAACGTCGGGTCCGTACGGAATACGGGACACGCTCGTGAAACATTGCTGCTCGATCCGCGGTAAGTTTGCCCGCTCGCTTATGCATATGCATGGGACGCGTCGCCGCGGTTTCCACGGCGAGCATAGGCACATCGCGAGGGTCAAACCCGGGGAACGCGTGATTTCATTTCAGCCGCGCGTCTTTCTTCTGGACGCTGTTCACGGAACGCGATTAATACACCGTCGCCCGTTAGTTCGCGAATTTTGCGCGATTATGGCACTGTCGGCCTTCGAAAACGCGGTGACGAATAACGCGTGAGACGTTTCGGGAAGATCGTTATTCTCGGTTCTTCTTCATCTTTTCCTGTGATTTATACGTTGCGGCGCCGTTGAAACGCGCTTGGAAATATTTATTATGTCTTATTTCTCTGAACAACGCCATAATGATTCAACAGTGGTTTCACTGGAGCGCTAAAAGCGACTGTGATTTTATATTCAGCGACGCGATATAATTAATGAGATGAGTCTGTAACGTTCGAGCGAAAAAGAGAAATCAAACGAATGTTTAACATGATTGACATTGATAAAGCCGCGATTTAAAGAGTTAAATCGGCCGGCACGGTGATCGGTGAAATTCTTCCACGTCTAAAAAGCTATCGATCATGCATTCAAATTCAATCTCGATAGGAGAGCAGAGCATGAGTTTGTACCGTAAAAGGCTCAACAGGCAAAAAGTAGATACTGCGATACCGCGTCGAGATATTGCAACAAAAAGTACATTTCTGTAGGCGAACGATGATTTGTTGTCTTTAGTGTACCTTTATGATAAAACAGATTCACGTGTGAGCATGAATAACGAAGAAGACCCTCTTGGATGGCCCATTCTTTACGAATAAACGACTCGAAGATATAGAATAAAATATTTTCATTCGAGGTTAAATTATGGTCGTGGATAACGTTCGCTTCCGAGTCATCGAGCACGCGTGCATTGTCATCCGTTGTAAGTAGAAACAGCACGCCATGACCAGACATCGGGACTGGGGAAAAATAGATGTTTGAAATAGTGAATAGACTGTAAATAGCTTTAACATCTCATGCAGTGCGGTATTTGGCAAATAAGCCTTCTCTTAAATAGCCGTTCGATATATTTGAAATGCTATTTCCATACACGTGTAAAGAAGTTTGTTATCCAAATTTTGTATTGCAAAAGTGAATACGAATATTTATAGTCTATTCACTATTTCGAATATCGATTTTTCCACGGCCCGGCCCGGCACACGTCACAAGAACACTTGATCGATTAGAATTAGAATAGATTGCACCCACCGCACCCAGGTCAGAGTCTAGTTAAAAACAAGGACAAATTTTCCTCGCTTTCCATTAGCTTTCCATGAGGATATATAACCAATGTTGATTCGAGGCTCCTGTAACTCTGGCCTCAAAGTGCAGCTCTTATCAAAAAACCGTATGCTACCGTTACGATGAAAATCTCTCTGAAATACGCTCGCATACGCGTGCTTTAACGCACTCGGGGGAGCAATCCGCGACGACGGCGTTGTTGCCAGGAGCGCGAAAAAGCGTTGCACTCTTCTAACGAGCCGGCGATCCCGATGCAATTTCCAAGCAGCGCCGTGTACACCGACGAGAGCCGATTCTTCCACTTCCGAGCCGGTCGTCCGTTTTTCCCGTAAAAAGAAAAGAAAAGGAAAAGAAAACAAAGGCACAACGAGCGGCTCGCGTATCGAGGTTTGACCGATCGAGACGTCGGAGAAAATAGCTCGCGGACGACTCGTGGCTTGCTGGCAATCAGTCTCGCGCTACCACAACAGTCGGCCAGAAAAAGCGGCAGGAGTACGGGGGAATCGTAGTGGTCCAGTGATTGCGGTGAACGGTGGCGAAATGCAGGAAGAGGAAGTGCGCGCCACTCCATAGGAGATTGATGGTGTTTATTGCAACCCCGTCGAGCTTACCGGTTTCATCCATTACCCTCCCTATATCTTTCGCCCGCAAGCTCATGCTTTTATTGGCCCCAGTTGCAAAATAAAAGCACGCGACCGTTCGTTCTCTCGCTCGCTCGCTCGCTCGTTCGCTTGCACGGCTCGGCTCGCCCGTTCGCGTCGGCTCGGCTCGCGAAAGTGCAACGATTGCATTCCCGCGAGTGATGAACGAGCCACCAGGACGACGCAATCTATGATAAAAGCGCCGGCGAAAGTATCGTAATTCCATCGACGAGTGGCTTTTGCGGTGACTCTCTTTCTCTCTCTCTCTCTCTCTTTCTCTCTCTCTCTCTCTCTCTCCCTACCTTTCTCTTTCTTCGTTTCTCACCCACTCTCTTTCTTTTTCTTTCTTCTATCTCTTTCTTCCTCTTTCTTTTTCTTTCTCGCTCTTCCTTTCTCTTTCTTTCTTTCTCTTTCTCCCTTTTTCTTTCTTTCTTTTTCTTTCTCTCCAATTACGGTAATGTCTCTCTAATTGACGCTCAGGTTATCCACAGAAATGGACAATTTTTACAGCTCGTTTTTATAGTCAATTCGTAATTATAAAAATGAACCGCAAGAATCGAATAATCGTATCTAATTGTCCATTTTTCGTGGACAATCTGAGCGTTAATTAGAGAGACATTACTGTAATTCTCTTTCTCCCTCTTGCTTTCTCTTTCTCCCTTTTCCTTTCTTTCTTATTCTTTCTCTTTCTTCCTTTCTCTTTCTCTCCAACTAATTAATTATCTTTCTTTCTCTCTCTCTTGTTTTCTCTTTCTCCCTTTTCCTTTCTCTTTCTTTCGTTCTCTCTCTCTCTCTCCAACTAATTAATTCTCTTTCTCTCTTTTGCTTTCTTTTCTCCCTTCTCCTTTCTTTCTTTTTCTTTCTCTTTCTTTGTTTCTCCTTCTCTCCAACTAATTAATTCTCTTTCTCTCTCTTGATTTCTTTTTCTTTCTTTCTGTTTCCTTTCTTGCTTTCTTTTTCTTTCGTTCTCTTTCTCACTCTTGCTTTCTTTTTCTTTCTTTCTCTTTCCTCTCTTGCTTTCTTTTTCTTTCTTTCTCTTTCCTCTCTTGCTTTCTTTTGCTTTCGTTCTCTTTCTCTCTCTTGCTTTCTTTTTCTTTCTTTCTCTTTCTCCCTTTTCCTTCCTCTTTCTTTCTTCCTCTTTCTCCCTCATTTTTTCTCTTTCTTTCTTTCTCTATCTCTCTGTCCCTCTCTCTCGTCGTCTCCTCCGATGCTCCAACGAGATCGTTGCTCTACAAGTTCCTTGACTGCGAAGGTTCCTCGACTGGGCATGCTACTGGCAAACGTGGAGAGGGCTTGTCTATTACTAACGGCGATCCACGTACTACTCGTGAAGGGCGCCGAAGCGGAGACCTTCACCCTCGGATACATCACCGGCTCGAAGAGACCTCCAGGGGACCAGGAGTATCACAAACCCGGCGTTCGGATATCCGGTGCAATATCGCTCGCCGTGGACGAGGTAACGCATCCCCGCTTCCCCTTTCCTCCACCGGCCTTTCTGCGAATACACCGGCCGACCGCAATTAGCGCGGAAGTCGTTAATTAATAGGTTCGGGAGCTCTGCCGGTTATCGCGCGACCGAAATAGAAATGAATTTGCTATGAGCGGACCTTACCTCGTGCAATCGGTCGCCGTGAGTTTATAATTACGCTACGGATGTTTGCGCGCCAGTGATATGCAACGGGTATGCAAAGTGTATCGGGTCGGACAATGAATAATGCAAGATTTGTCCGCAAGAGATCGTTCAAGGTATTTTTAGCATTAACGGCTATTTCGGAATTTTCGAGGTACGCGCTGAGTCGAAACTGTTGGAGTGTTGGTGCAAATCGATTCGAGGATAAGTTTTAGTGATGTACTGTTGCATGATCTCTTATTTTTGTAAAGATTCCTGGTATCCAAAGTTGGGCATCGTTTAAGTAACTGTTCATCTGAGTGATTATTTAAATAGGGAATTATTTGTTATTTAAGAGAAAATTTGTTATAAAAGAGAAAAATAATTACTTATTATTCATACAGATCCAAATAAATCGTTTCTAATATTACAACTCATTTCTTATTTATAAATACAATTTCAATCGTTAGCTATTAATTATCGTTTAATTGCTTATTACGCTATAAAAAACAAAAATTCGCTTTTTATCTAGATTCGAATAAAAAGTGACACTTTATTTGCACAAATAAGAGATAATAGATAAATTATTTCTGGAATTATTTGAATGATTTTTTAGTTAAATAAAAGATTTAGTCATAATTTGCGAGTGAGACATTAGGTCAGTTTGTAGTTTCTTATTTTAAATAAAATTTGCCCAATACTGCTGGTAAGAAGTGTCTCGTCTCGACGCTATCAAAACATTTATTACCGAGGAACACGCGTTTGCAATGAATTGAATCTATCCAAACGAGAAGTCACGCATAAACATCCGCGATCTAATAATAAAGTGTCTATAATCCGAGGCACAATGTATTTCATGCTTGGCAGTCGTCCCGCTTGGACTTATATTTGTCGTTCCGATGAAGCGTCCGATACAACATTCGAAATCTCGGGTCTACCTAGACCCAGGACTGGGCAAGGGCCAAATTATTTTCGATTTCGTCCCAAGGGGAAAATTGTTTAAGCATTTCGGCTCGGTGCACAGTAGTCCAAGAAGCGTTAACTCGTGGCCAAAAGTCAACTTTCCAACTTTTATATTATTCAGAATTTTTGTCCCTTCGAGGATTCCTTCAAAATCGAAAATATATACGTTATAAAGAAAAAATCTTCGAATCGAAACTAAAATTAATTATTTCCACTAGTCCCTATGGTATATCGAATGCAAAGTGTGTCATACATTTTTATATGTATCAACAACTGCATTTCAGGTATTTATACATTTCACAAGAATTTTTCAATTCGTAAAGAGAAAATGTTGCTTTTTACTAATTGGAGCTTCGAAAGAGCTTGTAAAACAATGATTAAAAGTGCTAAACATCGCATTTCGTTTATATGAAAGTTTGCACTACCGCTAACATGTTCGCGTAAGTTTTAAGTGCAAATACCTGAAAATATGAATTCTCTGTGAATTTTAACAAGCAAACATTCGCAGTACTAAAGCGTTCTGCGATCGGTTTAATGCGAAAATATTTCCAACAAAGATTCATTAGCATTTACATTTCTACAAATTTTAATACACAAAATTTCAGAAGCAAACTCCTTAAAATAATTCCTTCAAATAATTAAAGCAATCTCGATTTTTTCGAAATTAGTATATATTTTTGACTTCATAAAATCACAACTGATGTCAAGACGAATTCAATGACCTATTACACCATGACCTCAAAGCTTGTAATAACGCTGAAATAATTTTGGACAGAAATTATATATATTTATATATATATATATATACCGCTTCGCGGACCGCTGCGCGGAGGACAGCTTTTTCCCTCGGGTTTTTTTTTAAAATGCGCTGACGCTGCTACGTGGTAACGTGCGCGAGTACGACGGATCTTAATTAATTCATTGAGAGGGATATACGGTTTTCCGGGGAGTTTCAGGTGAACGCGGGCGAGCTCGGCCGACGGGGACACAAGCTCGACTTCGTCGTCGCTGAAACTTATGGGGTAGAGGAGAACAGCATCCGGATGACTGCGGATCTGTGGACGAGGAACATCAGCGCGTACATCGGTCCCCAAGAAACCTGCATCCACGAGGGCAGAATGGCGGCCGCGTTCAACCTCCCCATGATATCTTACGTGAGTGCCGTTGCGTCGGTCCCATTCGTTGACCAAAAAACAACCACGCGATATCGGGAATCCGGAAGATATCGGAATCGTAGTCAGAGTTTATCGCGGAAGACGGAGCGATGCGCTTTTTACGCGGTTTTCAGCAGAGCCGGCTCTCTCTCTCGCGGATGCATTACTTTGGTAAATCCAGCTAAACCCGGAAAACCGCCCTTCGGTCAAGCCACTCTCAAACATACGCGTGCGGGTATGCGCTTCTGGTAGCACTCTGGTCGAGTAACAAGTTGGCAACATGCTTTTAGTCCGAGACCATTTTTATTGCGGTTCCTCTCGGACGTGCCGGGAAATTCGCGGCTGCGAAAACATTCCCTGGTTATCCTATTAACTGGAGTCATCAAATATATTCGTTAGTAGACCGCGGACTTTTATTCGAAATAAAAACTGTCCGCGTTGATTGTGAGGAACGGAAGTCGGGTAAAAATGTTTTTCCTCTTTTAATCAGTTTAATGACTGAATTCACGTACAGATATATTCGCATACAGAACGTGTGTATGATGCTTTAATAATTACGTAGGTGATTGCTTTAATAATTATCACACAAATGAGAAATGCTAAATTTGTTGTATTAAATTTGTTGTCTTTTTGTTTTGTTTTACGTGTATGTTCGCACATGTTGAATCGTTTCATGAATTTACATAAATATTGCCGATCCCTGGCGACGTTTGACTGCGTAGACAAAAAAAATGACTGCGGCCATTAAAGCGTTAATCATTTTAATCAGTTGCATGTAATGTATAAGATCATTTTCGAATTCTTCTAATGTCTCCGCAATTCTGTTTCTAATATACAGTAATGTCTCCTTAATTGACGCTCAGATTGTCCACAAAAGTAGACAATTTGAGAAGAGGTGCCTTGCGAATTCGAGCCTTGCGACTTGTTTTTATAGTTACCGATTGTCAACAATTACAAAAACATGATGCAAAGTCGGAATAATCGTATCTTCTGTTCCCACATTGTCCTTTTTTCTGCACAATCTAAGCGTCAGTTAGGGAGACATTACTGTAGTCGTTTTCCTCAAAAAACGCATGAAAACCGCAGTTTTTAAACTCTCGCCTGGATTTTGTGAACAAATTGAAAAGCATGGAAACATTTCGCAGCCCACGAAAAGCAGGAGTTGAATCATGCATATTGCATCTCGATCGAATTCAATAAGTCAATGCTAAAGTTATTGTTATATTCGACAAGTTAATTTTGTGAACATCATTATAGAGTTTATTGAACAATTGCATCGGCGCTCGTTAATATTCGCATGGATTCGCTGGAGTCCTATTTCAGCTGCGTTAATTTTTAATGTCCGACGAGAACGTTGATTTTCTGAGAACGACAACATCATCGCCGAGTCGACGATCATTCCAAGCAATCGGATCAATGATCTACTCAGTCTCCAGAGAGTAACATAATTCGCTTGCTATCCGATTAGATGAGACACGAGATACAACAAATCCGGACAAAATCTCTCCAAGGGCGTACTTCCGAAAAAATTGATAGGGATCTAAATGGACTGAATCACAGCCAGCTGTGCATTTCTCGGAAAGACGCCCTTCCCCAAACACAACTTCATGCTTCTCCCCTGTCGCACTCTGCTAATGCCAATGAGCCATATGTAACTCCTCGCGCCGTAACGAGACGAACTCTTAACGAAGATTTCACAGATAATAACAATTAAACGCGAACGCTGGTCATTTCTCCTAAATCGAAACGAAATTCGATTCTCATCGAGATCCAGAAATGAAAGTAAATCTTTATTTGCCGTTTCCCTCGCTGTGAAACTTCGTCTTTTAATCGGTAACCGAATAAACCGGTGATAATACATTAATTGCTTTTTAATTAGTTTGTATAATTCGCATTATACAAGTTAAAAACACTTTCTTGCTGAGATCAGCTCGAACAGGCCACGAGTGATTTATAACAATGTGTTCTGTACTTTGGATTGATGAAAAATGTCAACCTTCCTCAATTTTTATTGTTTATCCGAGTGATATGGCAAAACAAAAAGCTGTGTCTTTACATAGCGTCCGATGACTGAACGAGCAACTGCTAATCAACGCGGCCGTGAAAGAAAGTGCAAAGGGTTAAATGTCCTGAGAGCTGACTCCGCGCACAAACAATGGTCTGACCCGGTTCTGCATCCAAGAGGACAGCAGGATGTCGCGATGAGTCCCGCAGATATTAAACGACGTCGACTTTTCTGCTGGAACTGGGAAACGTGTCGCGGGGAAATTCGCGATCGTGAAATATGTAGCACGCGACCGAAATCGAGGATCGGTGAACCGTTCGGCATCGGTGACTCGTTCGGTGCAGGTCGTCGTCGTCGTCGTCGCCGCCATCGAAACCGAGAACCACGGTATCTCTATGTAATAGCACGAATACAGGTCCCGGCGCGGCGTTTCGCCGCGATCGTTTTTTCGCTTGTTCCGACGTGATCTGGCGGTGCAATGCGCGGTTTAAGCTCCCGGGAGCGCCGGGCCAACCGGGCA